GACGCGCGCCTCTTGGGAGCCGTCCCCACGCGCTGCCCCGCGTCTGGCCGCTAGAGGGCGCCCCGAGCCTCTGCCTGCCTCGCGGTGCGGGCCCTGACCCTGGAGGAGACCTCCGAGGCTCCCCAGTACCCGGGAGGGTTAAAGTCTGGAGACCTGGGCCCGTACCCCCGCAGGGTGGCCAGTACTTGCCGGCCTCCTCTCTCAGCCACCTCGGACCCACCTGCTCTTCCTGGATGAACAGGATGGAAGCGGCCGGAGCGAGCGTCAGCGTCAGCCTCGGTGACTGCAGTCCCCAGATGGAGGGCACGAGCCCCTCCCCTCCCCTCGCACGGGGCTCCTGTCTCCCCGCCGCGGTGACACCTTGTGAGGCCCTCTGGATGCCAGCGCGGCCGGTGAGGTGGGCCCCGGTGGGGAGCAGACCCGAGGCTCCAACTGTGGAAGCCGTCCTGCTTGCAGATTGGGAGCCGCCTAGCCCGGAGGCCTCGGCCTCAGTGACGGGAGACAGCGGCCCCCTCCGCTCCTTCAGTGCAAATCCCGGGAGAAGGGCGGGCAACAGCCCTGAGAAACTCTCCCTGGGGAGTCCGACCCCGGCCAGTGGAGACCCCAGCGGGCCCACTGCGGTCAGCATTGGTGACATGAGTAGCACCCAGTCAGTGGGTCAGCTGCTGGAGTCAAATGTTGCGTCAGAGCAGAGCAGCCTGTTTCTTGAATGAGTAAATGACCTGAGCTTGGGAGGCTGGCGAGACAGAAGGAGCAGGTTCCTAGGGCTTCTCTCCCGGCCGCCCCCTCTGTTCCCTTCTTCCCAGGCCTCTCTCCTGTCCCCCGCTCTTGTCCCTGTCCCTGAAGCCTCCTGCCTCTGCCTCCCAGATCCCAGGAGCTGGTTCCTGCCAGCTCCTCGCCTGCGCCGACGGTGCGGGTTGTCATTGAAGGGCCCCGGGCAGCCCGTAGGGGAGGGGAAGAGACGGTGTAGATCAAGGGGACACCCGGACGAGGGGCCCGCGAGGGCAGGGCCTGGTGACAGGCAGTGCAGGCTCAGGTCGTCGCAGTGTGAAGTTCAGGGACCTGGGGTGGGGGCAGAGCCACGCACAGACCCATGCACCTGGGGCCCCTGAACAGCCAACCAGACAGCACGTTAAGCAAGGGAGGGAGGTGGCACCTGGGCTGGCAGGCGGGCAGGGCCAGGAGAAAGGGGCCCAGATCCGGGCAAGGACACAGCCTGGGTGCTGGCAGCCACCAAGCAGGGAGCCAGGGCCAGGGGACAGGAGTGGCCTCCCCAGCCCTATCTACCTGTCCCCTGCTCCTCCTGAAAGCCGAAAGCCAGGCTTGGGAGCTCACCAAGGAGGACGAGGCAGCAGCAGGGGATCCCTAAGCCAGCTGGGCAGGGCCAGCAGGAAGCCCCGCTGAGCTGACAAGACATCAAAGCCACAGCCAGACAGCACAGTGGCAGGAGCGGCAGGGCGGCGCTGGCTCTGGCCTTGGCCTCACTCAAAGGCACCAGCCTGTCCCCTGCCGGTGCCGTGCATGCCGCCAGAGCTGCTGCCTTTCAACTCCTGCTCACTCTTTGACTGCTGCCCCCTCCCGCCCGGCACCCCCTGCGTCCCTGGACCTGTTTGAATGCTGCCTCCCCACTGGGTGTTGTTACCAGGGAAGGTGCGCCTTGGGGACAGGGCCTGGGGCGGAAACCGGCTCTGCCTGGGAACAGAGGGACGTCAGGGGACAGCAGACGAGGGCCGGGAGGGGCGGGGCTGCTTCCTGTCACCCCCTCCTTGCCAGCCTTGAGAAGCTTCCTGGGCACCTGAGCACTGGGAGGGCACCCGCCGGAAGACACCCTCTGCAGACAGCCGGGGTGCCTGGGTTGGCTCACGCCCAGGGCTCTCGTGGGTCCTGGGGCCTGCGGAAGTCACACCACTTGAGAGAGTATTAGAAATGCAGATTCTCAGCTCTGCCCTAGACCAAGAGTCCAAACTACCAGGTGGGGCCACCAGCCGAAGCAAGAAGTGCAGGGACAGTGGTGATGAAGTTGTAAGGTCACAGAGGGGCCTCTGGGGTGTTGGCACCAGGGGCAGGGTGTTGTGGGCCTCTTTCTTGCCTGTTCTCTGTGTATCATTCACTCATCCTCTCCTCCTTGTTTTTACTCTTTAGCTTTATTATCTATTTTATAGAAACCATGGTGGCCCTGTAACTTTGAAGTGAGTATATTATATGTCCGATCCCCAATTGAGATACCCTCCCTCACTCTCTCATTGTATGCTCTTTTCTTCTAATTCCACATCCCAGGAAAAGCCATTCTGGAGTTGAGCATTTTTTTTCACCCCTCATGCCTACAAAGTGGCTGCTGCAGCTCCAGCTTTTATATTCTCTCAGGTTCTGATCTAGTGCAAAGCAAGGATTCAGCCCTTTATAATTGGACTGATCTTGAGCTTAAAAATGACAGTTGGTTAGGACTGAGTCAGAGGCAGCTTTCAAATAAATCACAGTGGTGAGGGTTAGGATACACTGTTAAGCAATTTGGGCCAATCTGGGCCCTCTTTTGGTTCTCAAGGTGAAGTTGACCCTAAATAAAGCATAGAGCTGGAAGGGAAGAGAGTGACTCCTCAAAGGAAATCTGGGGAGATGTTTTGCTGGAAGCAGGTACAGAAACAAGTAAAGCAAAAGCTACATTATTGTTACTGATCTCTACTGGAGAGGCCGATGAGGCCTAAAGAGGCCAAGAAGCCTGAGGTCACTCATCTGGCTGGAGCTGCAGCAGCTATTATGTAGCCAAGAGGGAGAAGCCTGCTGGGAGGATGGGGGTGAGCTCTAGTGCTGAGGACCAATCACCGGTCCACATAAGAAAGGTTGTTCCGGGAGCCCCATATTCCCACTACCCGGCCTTAGTGCGTGGAGTGTGTTTTATGTTCTCTGTCTGTGGACAGAGATATGGTTGGGTGGAGGGCAGGTTTGGGATAATGGTGTGTGTTACAGTTAGAGGAGGCAGGAAGAGGTGGTTCTGGGCAGAGCTGCGGGAGAAAGAGGGGTATGAGGGGTACCTTGAGGGTGCGTACAGTGATGAACGGCCCACTGAGCCCTCGCTGGGCGTGGGACCCTCCCAGCTGTGCTCCACATATGAACTGCTCTAATCCTCACCATTCCATGCAGCACTTGCTGTTCATCTCATTTACAGATGGGGAAACTGAGGCCCACGTGTCCAGGGTTGCTCAGTGGGCACCACTGCAGCTGTCCCCTTGGGGCCTCCCGGGCTGGCTCCTCTGAATACCACTGGCTCCAAAGATGCCTTTTGCCTCCACCCTCGGACCCCCACATACAGCCAGGGTGTCTCAGTGAGTTTCGTCGTCGCTGAGACAAAATAGCTGAGCCCGGACTGGTTTATTATTGGAGGAGAGGTTTATTCTGGCTCATGTTATCAGCCCACGGTCACTGGCTCCAAGGCAGGGTGACGTGGCAGAGAGGTCTGGGGGAGGAGAACTGCTCGAGGCATGGTGGGCAGGGAGCAAAGAGAAAAGGGAGGTGCCAGGGACAGAGTGAACGCTGCGCAGTCCGACCCCAGTGACCACCTCTTTCGCCCAGGCCCCACCTCCTAACGCCAAATCAGCCCTAAGCCCCATAATCCAGTTACCTTCCAAGTCACCCGCCTATCCACACACGCGACTTCGCAGGACATCTAGGTAGAAACCACAACACAGGGAGAGCATGACGGGGCAGCCTCCCTCCGCAGAAGCCCAGCGATCTGAGCCCGCAGAGCCGAGCCTCTGTGAGCTGTGTCCCCTCTGTCCCCCTTCTCTGCAGGTGCTCGGTCCCCTCTCCCCCCTGGGTGTCCTGCGTGTGAGGAGCCAGGCTGGAGGGCCAGTCGGCTCTGCTGCCAGCCTTGCAGCTGTGTGAGCTCCCAGAGGCAAGCCGGGGTCTCGTGCCCCGTGTTGTCTTTCTTTTAGAAAGTCCCCGACTCGCTGCTCATCCGGCTGGTTCAGGAGCGCCTGACCGAAGAGGACTGTGTCAGGAGGGTAAGACTGCCAGGTACCCACAGGGTGGGTGTCCCTAAGCAGGACCACTGGGAGTGTGAGGGGATGTGAGTTCCTCTGAGGGCGGAGAAGACCAGAGGGATACAGAGAAGGTAAAGCCGGCAAACTGGAACCTCTGGAGAAGTGGACTAGCACCACTGCTTTCTGAGCTTCTCTCTCCAGACTCCCCTTATAACTTCCCTCCTTTAAGCCCTTCTGGGTCCCCTTTTGAGTCTTTGGCCAGGAAGCTGGGATTTTATTTATCCTCCTCTGCCCCATGCTTCCTGGGACTGCCCGTAACCAGGACTGGCAGCAGGAGGACAGAGGGGAACAATTCACAGAGCCCTGACTGCTGAGTTCTCCTGGGACCAAAGAGGAAGGGTCCCCACCTCGGAGTTCCGGCACCTCAGGTGTCCTGCTGTCTCTGCTGTGCTGCTGCAGTGGCAGCAGGGTTCCCTGGGGGCTGGAGCATCAGGAAACAGAAGAAGCTCACAGGTCCCCCACCCTGGCCTCCCCCGTCCCCAACCTGGTGCCTGCTTTGGGGTTTGCTGGCCCAGGGATGTCGGTTGGGTACTGCAGTTAGAATTCTGCCTGCCTTCCTAGTCACCCACTCCGTGTACTTTTCTGAGCCCTAAAAACAGCTTCCCACATGTTCTGCAGATGTACAGTGGCAGCTGCTTTCAGTGGGAGAGACAAGGTGGGGTGCGCTTCCTCCATCCCGCCCAGACCTGGAGCTTGTGGGGGGGGTGTGACACACGTGCATAGTATGCAGGGGAGCAGCCCCCGCACTCGGCCGCTGAGCCACACCCAGCCCTTCCTGCTTTTTTGTTTGTTTGTTTTTTTGGTTTTTGAGACAGGGTCTCACTATGTAGTTGAGACTGACCTGGAACTCACTGTGTAGCCCAGGCTGGTCTTGAACTCATAGTGATCCTCCTGCCTCAGCCTCCGGAGTGCTGGGATGACAGGTGTGAGCCACCATGCCTGGCTGTGCTTCTTACTTGGAGACAGTCTCACTGAGTTGCCCCAGGCTGCCTTGAACTTGCAGCTCTGAACCCTGACCTCAGCCATCCTCCGGCGTCTGAGCAGTGGATCCCCCCGCATGCCCCGCTGGCTCACAGTATGCCGACAGCCGCTGCCCAAGCCCTCAGTCAGGCCCTGCCAGCCCTGCGCGCTCTGCCGTGACTGCTGGGCTGTGGCACGTGCAAGAGCAGCCTCAGCATGTAACTGGAAAGGTGGGGCCGCATGCTAATAAGACTTTGTTACAAAAGCTCGGGAGCCGTGGGGGAGGGCACTGCAGGGGGAGTCCCAGCCACAGAGAGGACATGGCTGTGGGGCACTCTGTGGCCACTCCTCAGGCCTAGCCCCATAACTGAGGGTGGGGTGCTGTCCTTGGCGACCCTGGACACTGCAGAGCGAGCCTCCGAGTCTCGGCCTTCTCAACCTGGAGGCGCAGAACACCGAGTTCGAGGCCCTGCCCCAGCCTCAGAGCGCGCATCCCCCTCGGTTATGTGCAGGGCCGCGCTCACTCGGGCTGGGCTCCCTGTGGCCTCTGCGTCCCGGGTCATGACGGGCTGGGGTTGTAGCTCAGCGGCAGAGCACTTGCCTACCAACTTGGAGAATTGTTCGTAAGTGGGATTCGTTTGTAAGCCAACAAAGTGAGTCTCATATAGCACACCTGTTTGAGACTTGAATGAGCTGGGAACTTACTATCTATGATCGTACGGTATTATAATTCATCCCATTGATCATATCAATATTTACGACATTTATTGCCATGATTATTGTGATGGCGGGGGCAGTTGTATGGCTGCATCTCACTGCACGGCACCCGCACTGTGGGAAAGGCTGTGGTTATACGGTTGGTGGCCGGTTGGCCTGGAGCGTGTGTCACAGGCCAGGGCTGATGCCAGGTCCAGGGCCTTCTCCAGACTTGCCACCCCTGTGGAGGCCGCTGTCCCCTCCTGTCTCACACATGCAGAATCCAAGGCTTCCAGAGGCTGTGGGCCTTGCCCAGGGCCTCCCAGCAGTCTCAGAACCCAGATGCGAACGCAGCCTGGTGTTTTCCCTGTGAGGGCCGCAGAAGCCACGTGACGTGAGGCATGGGCAGTGGGGCAGTTTGCTCCTGGGGGCCGTTTCCCTCCCTCAGGCCTCCCTCTTCCCGTCTGTAAAGCAGTGGGGCTGGGCTTGAGCCGGAAGTCCCTCCCAGCTGTGCAGGCCTGTGATTCCCACCATCCAAGCCATTGCTACCTGCAGAAGAAAGAAATATCTCCTTCAATTTGTTTTAAAATTTCTTCAAACCTTCATGGGGCATCCAGAGCCTTTTTCATCTCTTCCCAGCGGAGACAGGGTTTCAGAGTGAGAGGTGAGCCTTCTGATTATGTGCTTTGGTTGTTCAAAAGCCAACAAACCGTCATCCAAAACAAACAGGCTTTCTTGCTTTTAGGGAGAAAAATGACACATATGCATATTCATTTATATGGTAATTATTATTATTTAGCTACACAGGGACTGGAATTGGTAATTTAGAGCACCAAAAAGAATGCTGGGAGTAGCGTTCAGGGAAAAATAATGCAATCATAACCCATCAGAATTCTGTAGTTAATGCTAGTGGTTATCTTTTGCTTCCTTTTTTGTCTAATACAATCTCTTTGAAGAATTGTTTTTTGAAGTGACCATCAAATGCATTAAGGAAAGAGAGATTAGCAGTTGGTATTGGAATTGTCGCGAGGTGGTGGCGCCATGTGGCAGAGACCCCTTGGGTAGTGGTTAGGGACAGTCAGGCGCTTGAGATTAGCGTGTGACCAGGACTTCAGCTCACATCTCTCCGGCATAGGAAAGTCGGAAACAAGGGCGAGTCCTGGATATCTGCGGGGAGAGAACCAGTGACAGAGGCTCCCTGCTTTACCTCAAGTACACTCGATGTGCTCCACCTTCCTGGAACGGCTCAGAACCTCTTGATTTTTCTTGGCACCCAATCCATCTCCCTGCAGCTGCGCTGGTCACTGCCCATTCTTTTGTTCATGTTGCCATCTTTAGAACATGTGTGAATTTATTTCTCGAACGCAGCACAACCATTCATATGGCTCCGGCTCCTTTCGTGTTCTTGGAAGGACCTTCGTCAGAGGGTTACGTGATACACGGAGAAGCGGCTGTCTTCTTGAAAGCTGTGACGGTGTCCCTCCAAGGCTTCCGTCTGCTTTCCCAGCATCCTGAGAGCCCCTCAGTCTTCCTCCATTACTCTCAATACGCCCTCCACTCCCGCCTGGACCTCGGTCCTCCTCCAGGGCAGCCTGACCGGCTGCTCAAACAGACCCCCAGGTGGCTCCTACTGCCCCCACCCGGCACCCCTTGCGTGATCGCCTCCCTCCCCTGAAGTGGCCCAGAGGGCAGGGGGCCGCTCCCGTGGTTGCCCTTGGCAGACTCCATGCTGACAGCGAAGCAGGCTGCTGCGTAGGAGGAGCCGCCACGGGCAGCCTCCAGCCTCCGGCCAGCAAGAAACCAGAGCCCTCCTTGTGCAGCAGCAGGCAAGAGGTTTCTGTCCATCCCGAGCGAGCTGGGAAAAGGGTTCTTCCCCTTGAGCCTCAGATGAGAACACAGCCAGCCGGGACCTCCACTGCAGCCTCAGGGGACCCTGAGCCCAGGGCACTCTGGGCTGCACTCAGATCCTGACCCACAGGACCAGGAAGTATCTCGTGTGTCGGTTTGAGCCCATGCTTGCCGTGCGGTGATAGAAGACAAATGCACGGTGCACTGCTCCCTGCCGTCCTCCGCCCCTCAGCGGGACAGCCTCAGCCGGGGGCCAGCACTTTGGGGATCTGGCTCTGCACGCTCCCAGCTTCCGCTCTCTCCTCCTCAGCCCCTCACACCTGGAATTAGGAATGCGGGTTCTGCAGGTCAGTGGCAGATCCCCGGCCTCACATGGTGCCTGGCACCAACCCCGTGCTCGGTAAATGTTTGTGGAGCGAATGAGTGAATGCCATTTGGATAGTTCCCCAGCCCTGCGTCACCATGGTAATGAAATCCCATCCAACCTGCTGGCAGCACGGGGAAGGGATGGCGTTTAAACGCAAACAGAACTCCAGTCAAGTCTGCAGACTAGTGCTGGCTTCAGCGGTGGGAGCACATTTGTCTTCGGGCTCCTTTGGGGAGATTGTTTCGGCTTTTTCCCTGTGCAGTTCTATGGGAATCATGGAGATCTGTTTAGGGACTTCGCACATCTTGAAACCACTTCCACTCTGAGTGTTTTCAAGCCTCCCCGTTGGCCCTTGATCAAGCGAGGCCGCAGGACCCTAAGGGCGGTGACACACCACAGGACCTGGGGTTCCAGCTCTTAGGAACCAGTGTCCCAGTTTGATGTCGGGGCCCTATGCTCTGTATCCTTTTCCTTTCTTTTCATAATCTACCATGACAAGGATCAACTCCCAGCGTGCTTAATTCTACAACACTGAAGTGCCTCATGAAAGTGATCCTTTCTTTTGGGTGAATTCCGAGTTGCTACTCTCTCTGCACAAATCCTCGTCAGGAATCATCCTGCCTCCAACCCTTGATGAAAGGGGAAATGGACTTGGATGAAGAGGGACTTGGCTGAGGTCAGCAGGCCGGCGGAACTTCATGGATCATCAAGCTGGGCTTCTGCTGCACTTTGTGAGCTTGTGCCAGGCCCTTCAGCAGAACAGACTCAGCTGAAGAGTCACAGGCCAGACACTATGCAGCTAAGCAGACAGGAAAAATGTTTTCGTGTACGGATGCAACCCCATCTCTCCCAGCCCAAGGGGGCACAGGAGAGACGCAGCCTGGTTATGCCAGCGTGTCAAGATGTGGGCCTTGCTGCGCATGAGAGGGCAGAGGCCTCCACACATCAGGAGTGAGGTTTTCTGAGCCTCCTCTCTGCATCTGGGCTGGCAGACCAGAGCTGGCGGGCAGAGCCTTCCCAGGTCTGGTCCCTTTGGTGCAGAACACCCTGGATTCAAAGCAGGCGCTGGACCCAGGTTGCTAAGCACCCT